AGCACCATTCGTCGTCAGATATAACCCTAGAAGGAAAAACAACCGCTGACGGCAAGCTAGACAGAAATCTGAAATCAAGAAGACCAAAAAATTGAACCCTAAGACAACAAACAACTTATAATAAGTACTATTAGTTAGAATAAGTAGGAAATAAAATTAAGAAGGGAATATAAAAGGAAATGAATCAAAATAGGAATGCTCCCGTGTCATACAAACTCCCCCGTTCTTCTCCATTTCTCTCATTCCCATCGTTACTCCTAAATCGCCTTTTGTATAGAAAACTGCCACCACATAATGCACTTGCATGGTTGGATGCAACCATCTGTCGATGTCCCACCCAACACCCACCTTGGTTTCCGGGTCCAGGTTCCATTTTGAAATCCTAAATCAACCTTCTCCATCCTCGAATTGCATGTCGTTTCGTACTGTCTGTTGTGGTTCGTTACAAACCTCAAGATGTTATACAATTCCCTCTATATTTTGCCACTCGAATGCGTTTTCGACTCCTTTGCTCGATTCTACTTGCTTCCAAATGTCGCGCTATTTCTTATAAGTGTTGCTGCTCACATCTGTACCTGATACTGTTGCATGATTCTGCGGCAGATGGCTTTTTGTGTGATTTCACCATCTTCATTATTTCTTCTAGGATCATGAATCCTCTTTTCATCCTTTCTACTATAGACTAGAGCTGTCTCTCTATGGACGAGAAACGTTCCTCCATTTTCAATATGATTTTGGCTCGCTTTTTCCTCTAATCCCCCTCTCCCCGCTTTCCCCAGCCTCAAATTTTTTGGCTAACATTACTCCTAGGACGGTTTTCGATTGTGGAAGTAGAACTTCTGCATGTTATGATCTCGTTGTTAGGCCGAATCTCAACTATACTACGAGGTCGTAAGCCCCGATCCCGTGGATTCCTAGATCGCCTGAACCCCAATTATATCGGCAGGTCGCAAGCCTCAATTCCGTTCTTGGCTTCCCAGATAGTTCGCATGCGGCACTCTTGTACGCGATCCGTCATTGGTTTCCCAGAACGTTAGCATGCGGAACTCTTTTACGCGATCCGTCATTGGCTTCCCAGCTAGCTCATATGGCGTCGTATCATGAGGTTCAGCGATCCCGATGTTGGCTTCACATCCATGACTATATCGCGATTGATCCTGCTGA